CAAGGTGGATGGTCAAAAGTTGATTCCATTGTGCAATTTCATATTCAGGTCATGGCAGTAGATTGCAATTTTTACCCTTCAAGCTGTGGGGTGTCGTTCTGGCTGTCTGGTGTCTCGGGCTCTCTTGCAAACAAAGATATTTTTGAAACCGTCTGTGCAGATTCTGACTCATGAGATCTCTTTCAGCTGGTATTCCTCATATGCCAGGTCTTCACATCAGTGCAAAAGAATTTTCCACATAAACGTGTGCATTCATTCTTGGTTACAGTTAATTTTCCCACTGGTAGGACCAATATTGTGTGTGCATCATGTCCAGGAACTGGAAATTGCAGGAGTAATCAGCCCTGGGCTGCTGCCAAACCCAGCTTGATTCCAAGGGAGTCCTGGAAGAGGCATAATCATAATGTCTCATTTTAGAAGAAGAACTAGAAGCAAGGCAGTACGCAACTTGGCTGTTTTATTTCATATGAAAATGAAGTTGATTTTTTCCTGGCTGCTGTTGTAAGAATTATGAAGTTCAAGATCAAAGCATGGAGAATTACAGCATTTGAATGCTGGATTGAGAGTAGTATTTATGTGATTGGGGAGATTTTTCTGTGATCATAAATAAGAAAATTCCTAATTTGAGTTTATCTTGTGTGCTAAGAAGACACCAGACCCGTCTTTTTATTGCCTTTTGTTTTGAAATGTCTGTTTTTACTGTATCATGAATACTCTGTTTATCAAGCGCATGGCTGTTATCTGGCCTGGCTTCTCGTGTTGGACACCTCTTCTTTCAGCTTTGGTCTCTTCTGGGGGATGGTGATCAGACCTGTTCATGAGAGCAACAAAAGCCAAAGCCAGATGTGCCAGTTCTTCATCGTGCAGGATCTCTTGTTCTATGGAGCTTATACGTTAGAAGAAATCAACCCAAAAAACTAAAAAATCCCCACCCACATGATTTTCTTCCATCTGAAGAAGTGAGCTTTAAATTAGGATTTAGGCTAGGGAGCAAAGTATGAAGAAGAAACTGTTCACGTTTGGGAGCGGTACATGTTGGAAAGTATTTCCTCCTTTCTCCTCCCAATCCTTGGGTAAAAAAGTGGCTTTGGTGCACTTTCTCGTGCCACCGGGTGCTTTGCAGGCGCTGGTGGGCGACAGGCAGGGCGCTTCGGGCTGCCTGCTCTGGCTGTCTGTAAATTCACGTGAGCCAGGGCGCTGAGCGCTGTGCGATCGAGCGGGCTTGCGGCAGACTGCAGCTTGTCACTCTGGTGCGTTCGCTAAGTCTGACGTTATTTCCCAGTCTGTCATATGCTTTAAAGCTTTCGATTTGTAATCCCAGTTTGTTCTTCATTCATGCTTTTGGTCTGTAATGCCAAGTTGTTCCAAGTAAAATGTTAGTGCCAGGAAATGCAAATGTAGCTGTATGATCTAATTTCAGTTGCTTGTGTCTAAAAGCATCTCAACCGTAAAACACAGCGGTATGTATGTATAGTTCTCAGAGAATTTGTGTGGTTTTGACCGGTATTTTAAAACCCAGAAGGTTAATAGCAACTTAATAGCAAGTTTAATAGCAAGCGCTATCCAGAGAGCGTGAAGGCTGAACGAGGATGGAAGTAGAGAAAATTGCCCCCTCCTCCCTACCCTTTTTTTTGCCAGCCTCTACTGTTTTTTTAAAACAAGCTTATTGTTACTGAGAGTAAACATTTTGAAAATGGAGGGGATGGATTTTTCCCAGGCACCTCCAGGGTCCTGATTCCCAGTGCCTCGGTATTACCAGATTGCCTGGAGTCTTTCTGGAGTGTGATGAAGAGGATAGAGAAAAGATCTGCAAATGAAGAGCCAAAACTCATCATTCATGTGCTTGCTACTAATCACGTACTGGAAAGAATAATCTTTATGGTTGTTTGTCGCTTCCTTCTTCATCACACGCCGTCTCCTCCAAGCTGCACGGGCTATAAACTGCTTTTCTGCATCGCCCTCGGTGCCCCCGCTGCAGCCCCCTCCGATTTCCGCTCAGCTAGCTGACCAGGCTACCGCGCCGCACTAAATTCTCTGCAGTTCCTCGCAGCTGGGAGAAGCCGGAGTCTTTAGATAGTTTAGGCCTGAAGAGTGATTTGTAGATGTGGAAGAATGTGTATTTTTCCCAGCTAATCATTTGGCCTGTGAAGAAGTATGGCTGGAAAGGGATCACTGGGGAAAGATGCACAGTTGTCTTCTGAAATAAGTAGCCTCCTCCAGAAGCAAAATGTAATAACATTACTTGATATAACAAAGTAATCTCATAAAATCTGGAGCGTCGTATTCCTTACATTTAGACTTTCCAGTCTGTTTTATTGAGTTTAAGTTCACAAAGTCTACAGAAGTAGTAGTGTTATTGCTTTTTCAAGCTTGTTTTGGTTTTAGCACATAGAATTGCTGAGTGTTAATTATGTCATTTGGGTTATAAAACCGCAGCTCAGAGTTCAAACGCATAGAGCATCAAGTAAACTGTTGCCCGAAACCGAGGAATATGTGCCGATGGGTTTGTCTGCAGTGTGAAACTTCAGTAAGAATTACTGAGCCTTCAGATGGGCGGTGTAATTGCATCTACATTTCTTTCCTGTCGCGACCGAAATGGTATTATCTGGGTTGTGCCTGTGCTCTCCTTGCAACCATTGCATTCACGCTAACACTGCACTTTTTACAAACAATGTCTCCTAAGTGCAGCGCGTGGAGTTGCTGCTCTGCTGCTCCCCTTCCTGCTGCTGAGCTTTTTGCTTTTGGCTGCAGTCCAGTGTGAGTAATTGCAAGCAGTGGTACGGTCTATGCCGCCCGTAGAGACAATGTGCTGTGGTCGTCGCTGGTGGAAGGTACTGGCGTCCAGTACAGGGGGTAACCTGCCGGTGTCTGCCGGGTCGCCTGCCCGGGCAGCGTGCCCCGGGGTGCCGGGCGGTGGAGGCGGGTGTGCCAGGGCTGCAGCTACAGCTCCTCGTGCAGAGGCGGCTTCTGCTGCGCAGAGTGGCAAAAGTTGATAAATGCTCTGGCTGTATTGTTGGCAAGAACGGTAGCTTGTAATGTGAGATTGGGATTGAAAAAAAATTCATAACAAGCATCAAGTTGAAAGAAAAGAAACCCCTGAGCTAAGCTGAGCAGTAGGGAGGAACGCGAGAAGAGCGACGTGCCTTCCCTAGCAGCGAATCGGCTTCCCAAGGTGGCATGGCCACCACGTGACAGCAGGAGCCCGAGCCCAGGGGCCTTGCTGTAGCCCCCGGTGCGAAGCGTGGCGTCGTGGAGCTAGAGGGAGTTTGGGAAACCAAGGCATATGCCCGAGCCAAGAAGGGGGAAAGGCCCTGTGGGGTCGGGGGAGTCCAAGACGCTTCCCCCTCCACCCAGCTCGCTGTGAAGTGTGTGCTGTGGGCACGATGGACCGCGTGTGCCTGGAAGGGACTGGAGATGGGAGAACTCTGTCCACGCGTGTATGCATCTGTACTGAAAGCGTCAGAATTGCTGCCAGCGAGTTGTTAGGCTGTGGGAACATCTGGAAGATGGAAAGCAGGGAACTTCTGTTTCTTGTAACTCACAAACCGAGCCCCTGTACTACTTGAGTATTGCAAAGTGAGAATTTGACTTGGTCTAGTAACAGTGCATTGCAATAGTGGGAATAGGTGGTGGAGCCTTTTGTTGTTTATTTTACTCGGCATGAAAATGGACCCCTTTGTCAGCAGCGAGGAGTGTGGTGTAACCAGAGAGCGGCAATCGCTTGTCAACCGGTTGCAAAAGATGCAAGCGTTGTAGGACTTCTGCAGTAGCCAAGTGCCAGTATTGGTGAATTATCCTGAACATCAATACTTGTATAGTATTAAGGCAGCAGTCTTTAGGTTTACAAAATTAAACCACACAAAAAACCCCCTCTTTTTTTTCCTCTGATACTAAGGAATCGCGTGTTGTTGAACACGGCTGTCACTTTGTGTGCGCTGCCTGAAGCGAGAGAGATGTGTCGGTGTTTCCACCTGTAGGTTCTGCTGGGGAACTGAGGGGGTGCAGCAGTGTTGTCTATTCCACCCCCCCCCTTCTTTTTTTTTCTTTTTTTTGAAAGAAAGAAAAAGCTTGGGACAGGTGGAAAACAATGAAATCTGCTGTCAGATGAGATCTTCGTAAGCAAAGCTGATACGGCGCTGAAAGCCATACTTGTATTTATTCAGGATAATGGCTGCAAAGGAGGCTAACATTAGTTATCTGTGCACAATGTGTTATTTCAGTAACTATCTAACTTCAGTGTGTAACTCAGTACAACTGCAGCACAAAGGGTGCGACAGTGCTACATTCTGGAGCATGTTAACTGCTGCAAATCTGGGGTGCCAGCAGCAGCAGCTGACCCACTTCGCTCCCCTTGGAGGCCGGTGCTCCGGTGCTCCGGCTCGCTCGCAGGAAAGCCGCAGATCTGTGGGATAAAAATAGTTACTCAGGAAATGAAAGGTCGGAGTAGAACACAGAAAAACCCACCACGGTCTGTCCTTCTGCGCTGTACATCGTGTTTGAACTTTACATTAGCACACATCAATTTGTCAGAGGCTTTCTAGTGTCTGGCTCTGTGCTTATTTATTTCTGGTTTGTATTTTGAATGTCTTCCAGAGAAAGACCTAAAAAAAAGGTCTTTTTAGTAAACCCAGGAAAAGAGCAGCAGAGTTGATGTTTCCCTTGTGTGCTTGGGGAGATTAAATTTAGTCCCCAGCAGAATTGTTTGTGTTTGCATAGTTAGTTCTAAAAATTTTGTGCAGCCTGAGATAAGACTAGTTTTAAAGCAAGGGGGAGTTACTAAAGCCAGGGAGTCAATTCCGGCCTCTAGAACCGGTTATTTGCCCAGGAGAACGGTGCTTCTTGTTCTGTCTTCATAGCCAGTTTCCAGGTTTAAGTTTATTCCCAGTTTTGTGTTGACCAAGTTTAACTGGTAGATTCAGAACCACTATGGCAATTAACATCTGGTAAGCGTTCGGCCAAGGGCTATAGAGTGATGAAATGTCGGAACTGTTCTGTTGCAGGATCAGCTGAAGAAGTGCTTCTCCAGAGAGCCCCCGGACGCCAAGGACACAGACACACTCGTGCCGGAGCGGGACAGCCAGTACGGCACCTGGGCCGAGCAGCGGCACAGCGGGGACAGGTACGGGGGAGCAGGGGCTTTGCCCTGGCTGGGGAAGCGGAGGAAACCCTTGCTGTGGGTGGGCGCGTGCGTGTACACACGTGGGGTTTGAAAGCTGCTCAGCTTCAGTGACTGTACGGTTCCTTTAGTCTGTGACTGGAGGAAATTTTCTTTAAGGTCTGCAAATTGCAATAAGCTTTGAAATGTAAACTCCATCCTCCAGTGAGAGTGCAGTATTGCCACTTTCATAAGCGACGACAAAACCCGCTTGGACTGGAATAGATTTAACAAGTCTGCTAGTGAGCGAAACACAAGTTAGATGTTAGTTTTTAGTGCTAAAATGGTAGAAAGAAGAGATGGGAAAAACAGTTTTTCCCAATGAGTGCACCAAATGGCTTTCACTAGATTAAACATAGATACTAAAACTTTTTTTTATGCTTTGTATTTACGTGTTTGTAATTAGAAATTTCACATGTAGAAAGCGATTTCCTGCTTGTGTGCTATGTGCCTCTGGTGGGTAGAACTAGGGTTCCGGGAGGATTTTGCTAAAATTGTCTGATTTCCTCCCTCTCAGGTGGGTAAGGAAGATTCTGATTGTGGTGAGACAGGGTACACTAACAGTCTGGGGGGTGGTTTTGGGTTTTTTTGTAAATTTGGGTCTCTCCCGTACCAGTTAGCACTGCCTTAAAAGCTGTGCAGCCAGGGAGGCTGAACAGCAAACAGTGTGCAGTGGGTGCCCCGAAGGCCAGGCACCGGCTCCGCGCGGTGCGTCTGCTGGCGTGGCCCCTGCCCAGCTCTGAAGCGTTTCAGTGGGGTGGGTGAAATGGAGTTGAATGAAAGATGTATTACTGATGATTTTCTGTTACTAAAACGAATTCGTGAAGTAAACCCAGAGCGTTAAAGTGTGAGGTGTTGTGTAAGTTATAGCTCGATCTGCGCTGTCTGAGCCAAGACCTTATCTGCTCCGTGTGGTCTGAAAATAGCATTGTATCTGCTGTGGGTTATTTTAATGTGATACTTGTTGAGATCTTATAGCAGACATTAGTGTCAATTATGTTTGGTGTGTTCTGCACTTGAGAACTGTGCTTATAAATACTTTATTGCTTATGCAATCAGGATAGCTTTGAGCCTAAAGTTCAGGGAGCTAAGTGACGTGCCAACAGTGACATCCAAGTCTTCTGTAAAACTAACTTTGATTTCAGTATGTTCCAGACATCTTCTGAAATCGGTTTCTGAACGAAGCTGCTTGTCTCAGCTCCCAAACAGACAGCGTTTGAATGTTGTTTCAAACCCGGAGGATTATTCCTGATTAGAAAAACTCCACCTAAACATTCTGGTTTACTGAAGTATTGAACTCAGTCCCCATGTCCTGGAATTTTGTTTCCACTGTAAGAAATGTTTAGTATAGTGAGTTTTCAGCATTTTGCCACCCCCTTGCTCTGCTTTAGCTTGACTTATGGTTCATCCTGGGGGAATTACTGGTGTATTAATTCAAGCATTTGGAGAGGAATGAGGGCAACGTACTTTTAAATACCAAATTTGTAATGGAAATCTTCCTGGAATATACTGAAACTGCTTTTTTTTTCTGCAGTTTGTTTTACACAGTAGAAGCCAGGCCAGGTGCAGGCACTGTCCTCCTCCTGCCTTGGGTGACTGGAGCACGTCTCTGCGTTCGGCGCTGCCGCAGCGGTCGTCGTCTCCTCCTCTGCCTGGCCCCGGGGCAGGAACTCGCAGGAGACCCTGAGAATTCCGCTTTCCTGTTTTGCCTGGCTCGCTTCCCTTAGCCTCTGTAGCTTGCCAGCCTACGGCCGTCGCGTTGCATTCCTCGATACGCCCTCGCAGCCGGCGTTTGGCCACGCTGAGAGGGTGACGGGGGAACCGGCGCCGTGCCTCGCTTACCGGCACCCCGGGAGGGCACCCACGGGGCAGACGGGGGACAAAGCAACGCCACCGGCCTGCTGCTGCTGCTCTGTGGGAGGGAGTCCCGGGGGCTGGCATTTTGCAGTATTTGAGTCGTGAAAGGATTATTTTAGCCCTTTTAGGAGTGTTTCATTAATGCATCTGTGAAAGAACTAATTTTCTCTGAGAGAGGAAGAGAATTTTAAAGTAAAAAGGCTTGACTACCTGGCAACAGGGTGAATGTGGTCCTGTAGCTAGATAGGCTGCTAGGAAGGCGGAGGAAGGATCGCTGTCAATGAGAAGGGGCTGCTCTTGGCTGGCTGCAACGGGCTTGGGCAAATAACTTCTGAGAATGGAAGGAGATGGTTTAATTTGGAGGCGTTACTTGGATTTCTCTTAGCTTATCTAAAAGATTTTCTTTTTTCTGAAGTGCTTTGGTAAGCTCTTCCAACTTGGCGTCACAGAAAATTCTTACTTTTAGATCAGAACAGTCTTCGTAATGATAAACAGTTCTCTTTTGCAGAGAAGGGGCTATGTTTTTTAGATGATGGATCTACACAGCTCTGACTTCAAAAGGTTTCAGCTATTTGTTTCTTCAAATCCCTGAAGCTAGACTACAACAAAATTTCAGAAAAGAAAAGCCGCTGTAGGGTATCCGCTACCTGTAATAGATGGGACTCTGCAGTTACAGAACATGAAAGGGCATTTTTCCGTGGCCGTTATTTCTGGTGTGGTGCCCTAGGCAAGCACTGAGAGCTGCCTTTTGATTCTGGCTCCTCAGCAGGGCTGCTGTAAAAAGCAGGATTCCTGTTCTTTTTAACTCCTGGTTTCACATGATAAAGCAACACGTTCTTTATAGGCTCTTAGCACTGTCTTGCTAAAACTAATTAAATTTAATTGGGATTGAAAGTGAAGGCCTAGCTTCGTTTATTGCATATTTGTGATAACCAATCTGCCAGCATTTGTGTGCGCTGCATGAAGGATGGTTTTTCAGAGAAGCAAGCGTCTGCAGATGACACCTGCTGACGTTGTGGGCAGCTTACGGATACGCTCGTAGAGCTTCAGCTCTGAAGCAGGAGAGGAAGATACATAGTGCATCTCAGTAATGAGAACTGAGAACACGTTTTAAATTTCAATATTCTGAAGGGACTTTGTCCCTAATTTGCTGTTTGGATGGAAAGAATCCACTGTGCGTAGCAGAGCGCTTGTGCTCGAGCCGTCCTCGCCGCGTTGGGTGATTAGCGGTGCCACAGTGCTTAGTGTGTAACGATGCCGTAGCTGTGCCAGAGCCCCAGACGAGAATCCATCAGGGAGGTGTGTGCATTAGAAGCCACCAGGCAGTGTGAATTTATCTCTGTTTCCGTCATGGCTTACTCGGATATTTCAGTTTGAGGAACTGCACTGAGCTGTATTAGCTGAGGCCCTGGGAGGTGGAAGGGAAGAGGCTTTCTGGAGGCGTGCAGAACAGGCGGGATCCTTTTAATACGCGTTTTAATTGCCATGAAAGGTGAGAAGACTGCAGATTGTCTTTCCTCCCTGCATTCTTCCGTATTCTAGTGGATCTAAAGCCTAACACAGCAGATACCAGATATCATTCGAAGCAAAAATACTAGACAAAAACTTCCCCCTGCAGCTCATTACCATTTCTTAATTATCCCGGGGCCCGCTGCTGAGGGAGGGAAGAGGCCTTCGCTCTCCTCGTGTGCTGGAACGCCTCTGTGCAGTGTTTGCTCTGCCAGGCTGGAAATTATATCACGTACTGCAGCTTGCTAGAAAGTTGTTATTCAACAGTAGGCTCATGAGTGTTTTCCTCCGCAGATCGCTATCGCTGTGGACTGTGCCAAATGCTGAGGTCCATTGTTTCAAAAATGTGCATGCGTTCATACATACGTGTTCAGATTTTTGGGGGTTTAGAATGGTTTTCCTAGACCATTTGCTGAAGAAAAGGTGCTTAGTAACAAAAGACTCTTGTTAGGCAGAGGGGGAAAAATAAACTGAACTCCTTAAATACTTTAGGTTTTGTTTTTTAAATGAGAAACTCCTAAAATGAGAAGCAAGACAGCCCTATTGTTACTGACAGTAGAGTCTTACTGTTTCCTGCAGTCTCCTGCTGCTTGAAGGAACGCTCCGACCTGCATGGCAAAGGGAGACACATAGCTGTATGCAGCTTTCAGCCCTGCCACTGCACCGCATTTCTGTGAGTCTAGGCAAAGGGACGATTTCTAGGAATACACGGGGAGCGCCGGGGTGCCGCCCTTGGGGCTCTCCCCGAGCACCCCGAAAGCCTCTGCTCCTCGAGCCCTGCCTTCGGGTGCCACCTGCTGCCCCCCTCTCCCCTCAGCTCCTCTGAGCAAGAAAAATACCGCTGGCTGGCGGGGCAGCTCTCTCCGAAACAGCCCCAGAGATAAGAGATGCTCGTAAGGAAGGGGCTGGCTCGCAGAACTGGTTGCGTGGGCATCACTCAGGTTGGTTTCCGTGCCGCAAATGAGCGTGGTGGGGGAGCACAGGGCATTTGTCCTGACCATCGTCCCCAGTCCAGGGGTACTGGCTCAGCCTCTCCCCTGCAGAGTTTTCTGGTGTGGTTTCCAGTCGTCCTCTTGCCCCTTTCCAGTCCCGTTCCCTGCCAGTTCGCTCTTTGCCTGCTTCAAAGTCACCCGCTCTGAAGCAGCAGGGGAGCCTGGCAGGAGCGAGTCGATAAGCCCTCAGCACTTCTGTGTGGCTGCTGGACTTCCCAGCAGCGTCTGAGCCACCTGAACGGGCAGCGTCCGCCCTCCACATTCACACCTTGGCGATTCTGGGTCACTGGGTTACTGTTGCTGTGTTCCTGGTCTCGTACGGACCAAAACGAGAGGCAGTAAGAGAAACAAAATCTAAGGCAGCTCCAGTGGGAGAGCTGTTGGGATCGTGCCGACGGAGACGCGTCTTTCTGTCAGGACACAAGGGATGCAGTTTTTTTAAAGCCAATGTCTACTAGCATCTAAAAATCGCATCCCACAGTGTTTAAGTCCTCGGGGCTGCTGAAGATGCTTCAGTTTCCGTGACGTCCTGTGAAATGGCAGTTCCTCCCGCCAGCTGCTGGGTCTGCGTGGAGCACGCCCTGCGCTGCAGGAGCTGCCGTGGTGGCCAGG